CCTGTCATGGCTGCCATCACGTGATGGTGGACAGCCTCTATATGGCATTTAAGTTGGGACGTATTTCCGGGTCCAACTTCTCACAAAAACCGCTAAAATAAAGCGAAAAATGTTCTCACTGATTTAACTTCCAGCGGAAACAATTAGGACTTTGGACAACAAATCCTGTCACCAAGAAAAAGTAAGAAAAATCTTTTGGACTGATTTTCGCTTTTGGCCGGACCCGGAAGTTGTTTTTCCATACCACTGACGTCACACTTAAAAGCTCTATTCCTTTTACTGTCTTCACATATCACGTGCATTGTCACAGACCAACGGTAAAACGTTGTGAATCTGTGTGTGTTTGTATGAATAGGTCTGTTTCACGACGTTATTTTAAATGTGATTCGTAATGACGTAAATAGCAAAGCTACCGTACGTAATAATAAGTCAAGTTACGCGGTGAATTACGAACCTCTTAAAGTCAAGATCATATCCGCATGTCAGGATGGCCTTCCATATCCCTCGAACACTATCCACACATTTAGACCTCACCCAATCTATCAATCCACCCAATGTCAGATAGCTATCACTAATCTCTTCCCCTGTCACGCCATGGTCACGCAATACTTGTCTGACTTGTTCCTGCAAGCTGTGTTTGCAGTGACAGAATGTTTGGAAAAATACTGCTAGAAGATTACTGGAAGAGGGATTACAGATATTTTCTTCTGAGAGGCGTTCGTGATGAAGAGTTCTAGATGGGGTGTCATCTTCAGGTAAGTTATGATGTTTTCCGTGTGCAAATGAAGACTCCAGAATAGGAGTATAGGCTTGTTCTTCCAGTAATCGCCTGGAGTGTTTTGAGATAGGTGAATCACAAATGCCATCATGATGGGATGTTGCTCCTTCTATAACCCCTAGGTCAAAACACGACGTCCCTAGTTGCTGCGCAAGATCTGATTCCACGGAATCGTCCAAATTTGGCTCCCCATCTCCTTTGGGACTACTCGGTAGAAGTGACATTTTGTCTTGTTTGGCATTGTCCAGTGGTGTCGTTACAAGTGCTTTGGAAAAATCGTCATTCTTTTCGAGTAAAACTGGACTTGTGGTTCTTTCATCACGTTCTAAGATATCTGGAGACCTCGTTCCTGACAAGTGCAGCCTTGAAAACAAGGCACTACCTCGTCTCGATAGTGGGCCAGGAGGGGTGTCTCTGTCTAGTTCCGAATGAACAACACTAGTACCACAGCTATTGAATATCTCTCCCAGTACATCTAATGCAGCTGGTTTTAATTGTTTCGTATCGTCGTAGATGTTTCTCTCAAGGAATTCATCAAAAACTGCAAAGGCTTCCAACTCGTTGGTGCCTTCCATTAGTAGGTCTGTGATGACCTTGGCTACCCCGATGGACTCTTGCTGCCCTGTTGATGATGACTCTTTTAAGGATTTGCTGGAGCTGATTGCTTGTCTTGCCAGATCTGTTTGGCTGCTGTTTCTTAATTCAATCACTGCGTATCCAAGGATCTTTTCTGGTTTGTGTGCTTGAGCACTGGGAAGAAGTTTGGTAATATGATTCAGGCCTTCACCGCCATTGTTATGTTTATCGTCGCTGCTGGAATCCTTGCTTTGAATTTCAGGCAGATAGGTTCGCTCCTTGAAGATACCCCCGCATGGTCTACAAGCCTTCTCGATGGATCCGATAGCTTCTTCCTTGCTCAGAGTCTTGGGGATGTTTGTGATGACTAGCAAACGTTGCATAATGCTTGATTTGACGGTGACTACAGAAGACAAGCTGTCGTGCAGCGCGAGAGCACTCCGTGGCTCACTGCCTTGTATCAGATGCCGTAGAAGATGAATCGACGAAAGGACACTCTCAAACCACGGCATGTTTTCTGTTGGGGAAACCACTTCTTGTACGTGCGCTCGTTTTCGTCTTCGTAAGCTTCCCTTCCTGCGAGATCTGGAAGACCATGGGGGTGTCTGGGGGATGACGGTGGTAGGAGAGAATACAGACGGTGAGGTTGCAGAGTCGTCGGGTCTGAATTCAAATGAGGAGTTCGCCATGGATGACGGGGAGCTTTGGGCTGGATCAGCCTAAAAATTAAAAAAAAAWAACRATCACATGGAGATTTTGAAAAGGACTACCTTAACTTTAAAAATAAGGTGCGTCATGATCTAGCTTTAAAACAAACACCAGATAAAAAGGAATTGTCATAAAGTTGGGCGACCTTGCACTTTTGTTTTTTAGTGTCCCCTGAGGAAGGAAAGACATTCACACCACAAGGGTCACTCTACTTTCAAGTAAAAGCCCTCTATGTTCGACGAACAGAAGCTAGGGAGTGTTCATTATTTATGGGGCGAGGAGAGAATGGGGGGAGGATGGGGGTTAAAGATTTTTGGAGAACGAAAAGCAATTTTATTCGGTAATAATTAGAAGCAATCGAAAATATTWTTTTTCTAAGCCTGGAAAAGAAGGACCATGATATTTAGTGTCTACTAAAAGTCTGTAGTCTGGGAGTCACAATATCATGAACAAATATGTTATGTTTGAGGAGGGGGCCTCCCCAAAATATTATTTTAAAATGTAATAGCCCCCCTACCCAATAAATTGTGAATGCTCCCTAAGAAGGTTGCAACAAACCTTTATGCAATTCAACATGATGTTGGGTTTATAACATGATGTTGGGTTTATAACATACCTGTAAAATACCGTCAGTAAGAGACCCTTGTCTACTGCGTCGATAACCACCTTGATCTCTCGTCAATGGTGTCACCTCCGCCATTGCTAGCACTACCTCAAACAAAGCCTGAAGATAAGAAGAAAACTTGTTGTTCTCAAAATCACCTCGTAAGATAAACTCTAGAGCCATAGCGTTGGTCGCTGAAACCTCTTTGTCAAGTAGTTTTTGTAGCTCAGTTTTCAAAGGCGTGAGACGAGTTAGGATCAGTGTCAGCTGAAATGTATGAGCCTGCGATGGAAAACTGGAAATTAGTGATTCAACTTTATGGCTGATTCGAAGAAGCTGGGCAAGCAGATGGAATACGACTTCCTTGATGACACTTGGCAATTTTGTCCTCAGAATAAATGTAGATACCAAATCAATGGCATTAAAGATCACGGCCTTCGACATCACAGTCTTCTCAGTTACTTCATTGGTCGGGTTTGTAAAGTCTAGGCAGTCCAGATGATTCGATAAATTTTGAACAAAGGTTTCAATAAAAACCAGAGCAAGTAAAAGATCAGGTGACAAGGCATAGAGGTCAACTATAGGTCCCTCAACGGCATGGTCTTCATAACGCACCACCACACGGTTGGTGGCCAGGATCCTTGTAGGGTATTTCTCGGTCCAGTAGTTTGTGTTTTCATCAGATGAGGTGTTGTTGGTGGATATAGTTGGGTACTGTACTGCCTTATATTTGGCTATTTTTCCAGTTTTGCTGAGTTTTGCTCCCCCGTAGTAGCAGAGTACGGTTACATAAGGCTTCTTGCCGCTCATCCACCTGAAACAATACAAGGAAAATAACGTAAATAAGATTATTTTGATCAGTTAATAGACCTCTTTGGGCGTAGTGGTTTCCCATTTCCGCCAAACCATGTGTCATTCCTTAGAGTATTATTTCTTTTGAGCATAGGAAGATACATGAATATGAATACAACTCAAACAAAGAATCTTAAGGTGTTTTCTTTTGTGATTAGATAGTTATTAAAGATGTGAATTATGCCTCTTTAAACAAATTTTCCCCGCCTGAAGCTCGGAATTTTTTTCCGAGAAGACGTCTTTAACAAAGAATCTTCTTCTCAATTGAAGATACGTGGTCTGTAATAGGAAAACATTACGCCCAAGGTAAAGACGTTTGTTACTTTTGCTTGTATGGTACAGGTATTTCATTCCTCTGTAAAAATCAACGTGAGTTGAGTGTTGTATGATGTAAATATAGAATGTAGTGGTAAAGCGTGTCGTGGGAACCTCACGGAAGAGCCCGCATGGGGAGTGGAGGTTGTAAAATATATATATAAATATAAGGTATAACTAACTGATTGGCCATTTAATATACGACTCTTATAGTCTTTCAATGATCATGATTATCTTTTTGACTAGCACATCCAAAGACCAACATAAAACTAATTGCAACCTTTCCTTACCCAGCGTGAATCAAAGGGTTAGCACGGCATGTCAGTACAGTAATGGCAGCATCAGGAAAATKAATCTCTTCTTCCAGCACCTCGTGACTGACAACAAACTCACGATGCCACAGCAACTTGGACGGGTCACGTAAGCAGTGGCATATTGAATCGGTTAATCTCATCATCCCTTCCTCACTAGCAGAAGCCTTATCTTTAAGGAGTTGATTGACTTTAGAGATAATACGGTTTGGATCGGTATAAAACATGACACTGGGAACCACGTGATCTAAGGACAGGCAGGAGCGAGGACTTGAGACTGTGTTTAAGCTCGCAGCTAAGGTACCATCGATATATGGCGCAAGAAGATGATGATGTGAAAGTGATTTCAGCAGGATGACGTCATTGTAACTCTCTTCTGAAATAAACATTAGATTTTCGTAACATTGTTATTAACGAATCTCTCCTAGGTAAAAGACAATTTTCAACTACGCTTTTATCAATAGAAACATTCATTATGGCTGAACAAATTCAAGACCTCCCGTCGAGTATTATGCCTTGCTTCCTATAGACTAGATTTTAGACGCGAAGATATAAACGTGACGTTAAGCATTTAGATTGAACATAACCTTTTACTTTGGATATGATGTTTTCGTACTTTCGATGCCATTCCCTTCCATATCATTTTTTTTTCTTTAAAGAGGTAAAATATATGGGTATACTTAAAATAATACACCCAAAGTAAACTAGAGGTCCAAACGTTTATTACCTAGTTATAATATTTAAAAAATGGGTAAACTTGGAAGCGTAGAGGTAGTGATCAACGTATCCATAAAATTTGAAGGGTTTAAAGCTAGACAACATCGTATAATGGTAAAAAGTTTTCACAGTCAGATATTCAGGATCATCTCACCATGTATATCAAACTGCAACACTCCTGATGTTTCCATAGCTTCAATCAAAGCTGCCTGACAATATAAACGTGTGATTTCTTTCTCACAAGTCAGTAATTCATGCAGAGCCTCGGTCAGCGTCGTGTCTCCAGCACGCATGGCTAAAAACGATGATCTACTAAGGTTTGATGTTGGTCTCTCTAAAGAGCTGATGGGGTACCAGAATCGCATCAGGTTACCTTCCTCACGGTTGTATGTTTCAACTTCGGCAAGGTTCTGTGGCTATCAATCAAGAACACTCGTTGATTAAAGAAAGAATCAGACACAAGACCGCAGTGAATGGTAAATGTAATGACACAAAGGGCGATTGAGTAGGGGTAGGATCTTACTCGCGTCGAAATTATAATGGAAGGCTTTATATTCGCATACTATGCAATATGTACCTTCTATATAACAGAATTTTTTATGCTAACAATTGCTTTTGTATATTCCTAACTATTATATATAACGGAATTTATGCAACTAACTACTCGCTTAAATTCTGTTATATACTAAACACTATATAACGGAATTTATGCAA